TAAAATATAGGCTAGGAAATTTATTGCGTTGGTTAACTGTTGAAATCTACGTGGCTTTTTAGCCTTCTCTTCGATGCTCACTTGAAGCAATGGTACCACAGTACCTTAACTTGATGTGCGGCGGAGCTTGGCTCTGGCCACCCCACGAAGCAAACTTGACGCCAGGTGCAAAAGCACCCATGTATCTTCTCAAAGGACGCCGCCCGACCCAAGAGTACCACAAGTAGTAGTAGTAGTAGTGGTAGTAGGGCAGAACAATGTCTATTTGTGATTGTTTAAAATGTCACTCATATTGCAATTTGATATTCGATTCAACATATAATGTTTTGGTTTAAATAGGTATGTGTATTATTGGTGTTGTATATTTCACACAGTGTTTTTTATTATGGTGTATATTAACCACTATAGTTGTCGAGTAACCGTGATGAAGAGGTATGTTTGTCTATTATCACTTCTACTATTTACTATCCCCGAACATATACTCCGTAGTGTTTTGATTTGAATGCGCTCGGTGTTTCATTTTCTACTTTTCTATTAGGTTGAAACATTTTTTTGCAACATTGCTGTTAATATAACATATATACAAGTCGTGTTTTTAGCTATTGAATACATTGTCCATGTAAACACACATTTTAACATATTACTAAAATAAGTGCATTTCTCCAAATGTTTAATTTATTGCATTAGGAATATGCTCATTGATTACAATTTAGTTTGTTTGTTTCTCGTGCATCATTGACAACCCCATTCATCGCTCCCGTCACCGCAGGCTATGAGACCATTACAGAGCGTCCATGATCCGACACATCGATAACCCCCTGCACATCTAAATGGAGCCTTTGGATATTGCTTTCCGCAACCAGCTGGATCGAACCAAACATTGGGTTCTGCGGTGGAAACGGAATAAGATCACTTAGTGGATTTTTCATACCTTGTGTTGAGCCACGGAGGTTGTCGGAGTGTGCTCAGATGGTGGTGAATGCAATTCGGTATTGACTCGTGATCAAGCGTCAATTCTATTCATTCCATGCAAATGTTGTCACCAATACCATTTTTATTTGTAAATGAAAATTCTTGGCCGCATTTTGCCACATAAGCCGTATAACATGTTTTGAACTACCTAACATTTCTGTGTGGTCGTTCCCTAACCAGACGTCATAATTACGACAGTCACTGTACTATTACATGTAGTGCACGTGAATACTGATGTTATGTTAGACTACATGCCAATGTGTATCAATTAAATTATTGTCATCAATGTGGTTACTAACCTGCCGCGCGTTTGTCCTCCTCAAACGGTTCTGAGGGTTCCTCCTCTTGGGCACTGACTGTGAATACACAGACCAGCATCTTAAAATGATCAAAGAAACGCATGTAAACAACGTGTATGAGACTCACATTGTATGGTGTAAAAGTCAGTTGTCGTAAGCTTATTTCGGTTTAACTGCTGTTGATGAAAGTAGTTAATTAATTTGCATAAAATGTTTATTTCTTGTTATTTTTGTTTCGAATATGACAGTCTTTTCACTAAGATATATGCTGTAGTTGGTACATGTCGAAGCACTAAGCGGTCCGCTTTGCTATTTACACAAATATTTCGATAACATCTGAAACATTATTCCAGACATGTAATGTTATAATATAATGCTAAAATATTATAGTTTCAGATGTACGTAATATCAGACAAAAACTCACCAAGGTCAATGCAATATACAACATTTGGCTTGTCATTTTCTTTTCTCTTGATTGTCGACAAATTAACTTGTTGGGATGTTGAGAAAACTGTAGAAAAACATATGTCTTAATTAATACCTTACGAATATTTCGTATATTATGAATCCAAACAGTGTAGTAACTAAAATAATTACAATAACCAGGAAAATAAATGTAGTATTGGTAACATTTTTATATAAAGAAAGCCGTGGTTTTTGCGTCTGACTAGGTAACTATTTTCTGCGTCTTTGTATGCGGATATAGCTGATTCACTTAGTCCTTTGACATTTTTGTAAGCCACAGAAGTCGTAGATACAGCATATGTATGTTAACACAATCGCAGTACCGAACGTGTTTGGTATCCCCGATGCAAGCCACACACTGTAATGTGAAATAAACCGTTTCTCGACACCAGTTTTGAAAGATAATGGGTTTGGCCTTTGTTCAAATGATTCAGTATTTCATAGTGGCTAGCTATATAGTGTTCCATTCCTGCCAATTGTTACCCTTTGCAAGTAAAACATTGCCGTAAAACAACAACCTCACGTTGCATAAATGTTCGTTGGGTAAGTGGCGTAGGGTCGAACGCAAACTCTCTTCAATACGAGACGAACACAACAAACAATGCACCAAGTCCAAAATTTGAGCTGATACATTCAAAATGGGCACGTAATATCATAAGTTTCTTGAATCAGATAAATGACTCAATCATGCTGCATATTCATATCTTTACCGCACAAACACAAATCAAGTGCCATAGGTATTTTCATATAGTGTACCAGGTACCCTGTCGGTATTGTATTGTATTGTATTGTATTGTATTGTATTGTATTGCGATGTATTGTAGTGTTTTCCTTTCAAGTTTCAAGTAATGAAAAGTGGGTAACATGGTTAGAGGGGTATACAAAATAAGAGAGAGGATAAAGAGGCTTCAACTCCGTTGTCTGTTATGGTAAATTATATGGATATATATGTGTGTATAACACTGTATAACGATTTCTGGAGGTAATGATTAGAGCCTTACACAGAGAAAAACACACAATTTATGATGTTGAATACACACTACAACATGATTGGAAATGATGCAAAATGATTGCAAGTATGCTGAACTAAAATGACTGAAAACTAAAAGTTAAGATTACCTTACTGGAGACCAGCTTGCTGTATGATTCTGACAGGAGAATGGTGAGTGAATGCTCTTGTGTGTGCTTGTACAAAAATATATTTATTTCAAATTTGTCATTACTCTGACATTTTACTAATCGGTTGATAGAAAAAATAACTATATTTCATTTACAGGTAGGGCGGAGATTTTTCGCCCACATATTCACCACACCCAGTTGCTAGTAAAGACGTGATTATTTTAACAGTGCCCTCCCTGATGACATGGACTTTAATGTATTTTGGTAGCGCGAATGAATGCCATGATATACTGGGGAAGTACATACTTTTTGTCATACTTTGACCTAGTTGGCCTAAAATAATATATTTTTCTCTTTTTTTTGTCAATTCACATACCTATTCAGAATACAGCGCCTTGGTGGCGATAAAGCGGCTTGGCACTAAGCGGCTTGATAGAACTTACTTTTTACAGGTAGGATTAGAACTAATCCGCCGCGACGGCATCCCACCATCTAGCTTAGCTGCATCCACTATTCGTGCACATATTGACAGCGCCCTCAAGAAGAAATTGAACGTGAGTGGTCACTATTTCACATTTGAACAACTTTGTCGGTACGCTATTTTGGCCTATTTTAAAATGTTAACAATTAGTAGGAATGAAATAGTATATATGTAGTCATTATGAAATACTGAATTAATTGAGAATGGTCCAACTATATCCCACCCATTAGCGTTCAATCCTGTATGGTGATATAGGGACTGTGTTGTAATGCTCTCCGAGAGTTTGATAACATCCATTTTTACCATTGTAATTGTTTTCATTCACGGGCATCTCTCTGTGGGAGATGTCACGCTCTATTTTTTCGAGAAATTGGTACATTGCAACAACAAGCCATTCAGATTGTTGAGAACATCGGACGAAGACAAAATTCAGTCATTGCAGATGCAAAATTGCCGCCAACTCGAGGAGACAATCAAGTTAGGTGCACTAGTTCACACCAACCTAAATTAGTGTATCTAATTATCACGTTAGCAAAAACCGTTAAGGTGAAACTACTTCGCCTGCTCTTAAAAATCTACAGGAAATGTTTCAATTTCTGTTACAACATAGCATGTGGTTTATGCGGTTTATGTGGTTACGAGTAGTTCGTCTACTAGATATAACCTGTGTATTATTATTTCAAACAATCGTAAATCGTTTTATTTTTTTGCTAACCCCTTGTCAAATGGTTGAGTCCAGTGTCACAATTGAAGGCACCCAAGTCACTACAAATATAATTGCTGATGAGTGGAGTAATAGTCAAAGACGCACGATTTAATTAAATAACGGGTGCAAATCTATATTTGTCTGAAATTAAACATATGATTGCTATACTTGATACCAGTTATTATAAATGTTATAATTATTTAATGAAAACAGTAATTACATGCTTTGGACGCTTTTGTATTTTCATTGTTTTTTGAATGTAAAATATAGAAAAAATGTATATATTCGCTGGATTTTATTTTTCGCTGAACCATCACTTCAGCGAAAATAGAAAAAATAGATTCCAAGCTAAAATATAGTATTTACAGTATATTTTACAGGTAGGATGGAATCACCATGCAGGCCAACACTAAATGATTGATTCATTGTAAATAACAGGATGTGGACAGCGCCCTCGCCAATGACATGGACTTTATTGCAACGTGTTCTTATGTTCTGTTGAAAACTGATTCGTTAGAGACATGTGTATTTAGTGGTTCAAATGAGTTCATGTTATTTATCTGCCTGTCGCACCGCGCCACCAACGGGAATTACGTGAACATGGAAATTAGAATGAATAAGTAAACGGTTTAGTGTTTCCAAATGTTATTTTCAGTTGGGTATCGTCGACGACCATTGATGTTTTAATGGTTCAAATGAATTCATGTTTTTTTATCTGCTTGTCACACCGCGCCACCAACGGGAATTACGTGAACATGGGAATTAAAATGAATAAGTAAACGTTTTAGTGTTTCCAAATGTTAGTTTTCAGTTGGGTATCGTCGACGACCATTGATGTTTGTTTTTTGCTTTACAGGATAGCCTGAAATCCAGCCATTCCGAATACACTAAATAATGGCCCGATGAATTACTGTGTAACTACGTAGTGGGCCCATATAATGACGATGCTGGTTACATACAATGTTTAGGAGGGAAATCGCAAATCGGAACCATCGTATTGAAAGTAATATAATTAAATGGGAATAGATATTGTTCTGCAGGTCTTTGAGATTCGCAATTTTTGTGGCGGGATCTGAGTCTAAACGGTGATAATACGTTCGCCGGGCTTCTATTATGCAAATTACCCCCTGGTGGCCACAATCACAAACTTAGTTACGTCGGTGAGGGCGCGGTAACCAATATTTCTGAACTTCGCCCATGGCATACACGGAATCTAAGTACGGAGATGTAGAATTTATTTCAATAAGAACTTAAGTTATTACTACACACAGAGCTTTGATCATCATATTAAAATATTACCTAATAGTAAACCCCCCTCCAATATAGGAAATATTTACTGTGTGGTCTGAACTATTTGTCACACTATCATCACATTCAGTGTTATTTTTATAGTTTCACTGATAAATGTACATTCCGTGTCTTTGGTTTGTTCTAGCTGGCGTTTCAAGGTTTACTGATAACTGTTCAACGAGTAATAAAAAAACACAGCAGTTTGCGGAGGTCGGGCGGAAAAAATATTGAACTAAGCAAACTACCGTGTCAAAATTGGTAAGTTAAATTATGTTTTTTTTTCACATTTCATTAATTGCACAGGTATATCCAAACCGAATATCGAAGTGCGGAAAGAGTTATTTTGTTTTATTCTACTGGCTATTTCACAATAGATCTATTTACGTCTAGGTTTTACTTACTTATTGGGATGATCATTGAACGCTTTAAAACCCAGCGAAAAGAGATAACAGATTGTTTTTTTCGTTTTTTTTTTCGTTTTTTTCTTTTGAGGGGGGGGGGATTATAATACGTTGAAAAAACTATGTGTACTCTAACATTCAAAAGAGTTGGGACTCCGTTGAACATCACGTAGATCTTAGAATATTCAGTATCAATTAAATAATCTTAATAGTGCAGTGCTGTAACTCTTGGATTCCATGTAGTTCGTTTATTTATTGCTGGTCATAATGATATGATTTTTCCCTTGTTTTGCGTACACCCAATGACGGATGAAATTACATTTCCGGCAATAAAAAAACGAACTACGGGGAAACCCAGAGTCACAGCAGTTGTCATAGTGGTTCACGCTATGTCAAATACTCCGACAACCTTTCAACAGACTGAATGATTAGGAATTAATGAGTCTTTTCTTTGACCGCTACGGTTGCCTCCTCGAAAACTTAACGCAATTAACAGTCGTGAACAGAATGCATTTTGAGGAGTTTCCCATTTGAAATCGGGGTGGGGGCTGCCAGAAGAAATTTTTCGTTACGCGAGTATTTTAAGACATTTTGGAGTATCTTTCTAGCTCCATGGTCAGGATGAATTCTAATTTGGCAATTATTATTCGTTCGGTTCATTCTTAAAACACAGTGTCCTTTTATCGCGATTGTCAGCGTTCATTTTACTAACAGTTGCAATCGTAGAATGCCGTGTTGTTTTTTCTGAGACAACCGAAATATCGAAGACTAGAGTACAATCGTTACTGCTTTTCCCTCTGACGAGAACAGTGGACGTATGGTTGGGATAATTTGATTGTTGACCACTGAGGTCACATGTCCACGATGCGGGTTCGTACTGAGATTGTTTATTTTCGCTATATGATGAATTGAACTTTCATCTCAGTAACCTGTGGTAATCGGAACACAGAGAGCCTATAACATCTTTAAATTACACTGAAGAAGACAAGGCTGTGCAACTTTGGTACTGTAAAACCATTTATTTTTACTATTTTGATGTTTTACTTTCAAATATTTA